CGGCCTCCAGCCCCGGCAGCAGGCGGCTCAGGGCGCGGCTCAGTTCCGCCGCCTCCGCCGTCTCGGCTGGGCCCGGGGGCGCCGGGGCGTCCGGTGCCACCAGCGCCGCCATCTTCCCCGCGTTGTCCGTATCTAAGGGAAACCGGCGCTTTTACGACGGTTGCGGTGTGGATTGCGGTGCTGTTTCCGGCCTGGCCCCAAATAGAACTTTATTGGCAGCTTTTGACGCGGACAGGACACGGGCCTGGCAGTGGAACGGCGGTCTTCAACGTCATCACAGCACGCCTCGTTAGTCATCTTTGGTTTTCTGTATTAAACGGAAGTAATATCGATATTATATAGGGCTTACTATGTGCCAGGTACTGTCCAATTAATACCTCCCCTAACAAGGAGGCAGTTGCTAGTATGCACACTTTACCAAACTCACTGCCACAGAGTGCGTTCTGATTCATAGGGACTGTATAGGACAGTAGAACTGCTCCATAGGGTTCCCAAGGCTGTAATTTTTACAGAAGCTGACTGCCACATCTTCCTCCCGCAGACTGATGGGTTCGAGTGGCCCCTTTGGTTGGCATCTGAGCGCTTTAACCACTGCACCACCAGAGCTCCTACTCACACTTTACAGGTGGGAAAACCATTTGTATGGAGAAGTAACTGACCCAACGTCAAAAAAAGAAACCAACAACAAACCAAACCTGTTGCTGTGGAATGTGGAGCCAACTCATGGCAACCTTACGTGTTACAGAGTAGAACTGAGCTCCATAGCGTTTCTTGGCTGTAATCTTTACGGAAGCAGTTTGCCAGGCCTTTGTTCCCCAGCATTGCTGGGGGGGTTAAGCCACTAATCTTCTGGTTAGCAGTTGAGCGCAAACCACTTGTGCCACCCAGAAGTCCTTGGGCTTAAGGTCACACCTCTCAAAAGTGGAGAATCCTGGATTCAGAGGAGGTGGATGGAGTGCCGGTGCCTGGGGCTTTCCCCCTAATGAAATCCTGCCTCACACGACTGAAAGAATATTGAGAAAGGAGTCAGTTACCACTCTAGGATACCCAGAGAACCCCTCTCCTGTAATGCTTAAAACCCGTCAAGCTTTGGGAAATACCATTCCAGAAAGGAAGGGTATGAGTTCTAATCATTGGATCCAGTTTTGTGGTTTAAGTTCCTGTGCTGGCTCCCATACATACAATGGTTTCTGAAGGCTCTCTGGTTAGGATATGGCAGGATTAATAACACAAGTCCTCAAGCACGTGATGCTGTTACCTTGAGGGGAGCTCAGGTGTTGGCAGAGGGTACATAAACAGTGTGGAAGAAGTCATACACTAGTAAGTTCAGTAGATAGGAGCAAGATTGAATCTAACAGAGCCCACTGTAACCAAAATTCCCAAAATGCAATCAGCCAAGCAGCTCCTGCCTGTAACAATGTGCTTAATGAGTTTTCAAGAAGAAAAATGTCCTTAATTTTAAGGACTGGTCTTTATTTTGAATCTGACTTTTTTTTTTTTCCTGTTAACATTTGTTTTATAAAATGGTGGTGTTAGTCGACCATCCAGTTAAAATCTAAGTGTCCTTTATCAGGTGAATGGTTAAACAACTGTGGTACACCCATACCATGGACTATTAAACTTGATGTCGTCAAGTTGATTCCGACTCATAGTGACCCTGTAGGACGGAGTAGAACTGCTCCATAGGGTTTCCAAGGAGTGGCTGGTGGATTTGAACTGCTGACCTTTTGGTTAGCAGCCGAGCTCTTAAACACTGCACCACCAGGGCTACATTTAATAAGAGAAGCTAGACAAATGGTTATTCATGTGTAAAAGATGAAATTGGATCCCTCCCTCACACCATATATAAAATACCAACTTCAGTAGAATTAAGTACTTAATTTGGATTTCCTCACACAAGATGGTCTCAGGGTAGTCTCTTCTTAACCGGTGGCTGGCGACCAAGAGAGAGTAAGCAGAAGCTGCCTTTCCTTTTAAAGGCTGGCCTAGAACTGGCACAGAGTCACTTCTGCCACATTCTCATGGCCAAAACAAGTCCTAAGACCAGGCTAGATTCAAGGGAGGGGGAATAGATCCAACCTCTTAATGTGAGGAGAGACATGCATAGACAGGGAGGGAGGAATTGATGGTGGCCATCTATGAAGACTATGTACCCCAGAAGCTGAGAGAGACTGTGGTAGCCAGCCTCCAAGATGGGCCTAATGATCTCTGCCTTTTGAGACTCATGTCTTTTTGTAGTTTGCTCCCACATTAGATAGGGTTGACCTGTGTAACCAATAGGATATTGAAGGAATGATAGAGTGTGCTTTCTTTAGCTAGATTTTTTTAAGTGGCTTCTCTTATGCACTTTGGGGAACGCCATGTTGTGAGGACACTCAAGCAGCCCTACAGAGAGCTCCACCTAGTGAGGAATTGAGGCCTCCTGCCGACAGCCACCGGAGGGAGCCATTTTGAAAGATGATCGTCCAGCCCCAGCCAAGCCTTCCGATGATGAAGCACAAGCTGATGTCATGATTGCAACATCATGAAAGACCCTGAGCCAGACCACCACCAGCTAGCAGAAACTGAGAGATAGTAATCTGGGATAATTTGTTACCCAGCAAAAGATATTTAATATATGGACATGAAGAAGGGATTTACAAGGAGGCTATTTTTTGGGAAAACTGTGTTACTCTCTGTTCCTTCCCGCCCCCAAGACTGGAGGATGCTTTTCCTTTCCACCTCCAGGAGTGGATGCTTTCTCCTTCCCCTAAAGCCAAAAGCAAGGAGCTTCATTTGGACCATTTAGACCCTGGACCCTGACGTAGGTTGATACCGTGGCCTGAGGTTTGACTTTCTTCTGGGAATTCTAGTCGCCAGAGGCTGCTCTGATGGTGGGAGGGGTGAAGCACTCGTTAGCAACTTTGGAGAGGGTGGATAGGCAGGGGGAAAAGCAAGAGGGATCTCTCTCTCTCTTTTTCCAGCTTGCCGCCAGCAGAAGTGCCTAGCTAGAAGAAGGAAAATGTTTTAACTCTCTAAATCAAGTTTGGAGTTTTAATTATTTGGTAATACTGGACACTTATAATTACTGAATTAATATTGGGTTTATGTCTCATCATAGCTATAGAACTTTTTAATTATCTAAGTTTGAGCCAAAATGTCATCGTGGTTGTTGCGTCTCATCAAGTCGATTCTGACTCGTCGTTACACTATAGGACAGGGTAGAACTGCTCCATAGTGTTTCCAAGGCTGCAACCTTTACGGAAGCAGACTGCCACATCTTTCTCCCATGGAGTGGCTGGTGGGTTCGAACTGCAGACCTTTGTTAGCAGCCGAGTGTTTAACCACTGTGCCACCGGTATTTGGAGCTGTCCAAATTTACATCTGGGGTAGAGAAAGAACTTCCTCCACTGAATATATTTTTAAAAGCCAGTAAGAGGTAAGGAAACACTGATTCCTGAGTCTATTTCAGATGTCTTGCTTATTCAGTGTCCTGGTTACATGTATAAGGAGCCCTGGTGGCGCAATGATTAAGCGCTCTGCTGCCTACCAAAAGGTTGGCAGTTCGAACCCACCAGTGGCTCCACGGGAGAAAAGACCTGGCGATCTGGTCTTGTAAAGATTACAGCCTAGGAAACCCTATGGACCAGTTCTACTCTGTCCTATAGGGTCGCTATGAGTCGGAATCAACTTGACGGCAAACAACAACAAGGATCCCTGGTGATGCAACGGTTAAGCGCTTGGCTGCTAACCGAAAGGTTGGTGGTTTGAATCCACCAGCCGCTCAGCAGGGGAAAGATGTGGCAGTCTGCTTCCGTAAAGATTACAGCCTAGGAAACCCTATGGAGCAGTTCCTCTCTGTCCTATATGGTAACTATGAGCTGGAATCGACTTGACAGCAGTGGGTTTTGGTTTGGTTACATGCATATTAAAGTGTGTCATTTGAGCAAATATAATAAACTGATTTTAGCAAATTGCACTTGGTTCACACATTTCATTCAACAGATATTTATCGGGTGCGTGATACTCCTGAGCATTTTGCTAGGTGCAGAATCCAATGGTGAGTAAAAGCCAATGCGGTTCCTCCTTCCCTTATAGTCACGTGAGGAGATAGTGGCGCAGTGGTGAAGAGCTTGGCTGCTAACCAAAAGGTCGGCAGTTCAAATCCACCAGCTGCTCCTTGGAAACCCTATGGGGCAGTTCTACTCTGTCCTGTAGAGTTGCTATGAGTCGGAATTGACTCGACGGCAACGGGTTTGGTTTTTGGTTTGGGGAGATAGTGCATCAGATGAAGACACAATAAATGCAGGTGTGTGTGAGCAATGCCAGCAGGTGCGGGGTCCTTCGAGGGTCTGCAGGAGCGGGCTTTTCAAGAAAGCAGCACTTTGGGTGGGACATGAAGAATGAGAAGGCACTAAGAAGGCCAAGAGGAAGGGGAATATTGTTCTGGGAGAGGACCCCATGGCCAGTGGGGGGAGAGAGAGCCAGTACAGAGGGGAAAGCGAGGAGAACAAGGCAGGGCTGCAGATGTTGGCAGAGCCCCCGTATGCAGGGCCCTGGGCTTGGAGAAGGGCCTCATAGGCTTTGCCCTTTAAAAAGGAGATATTTTGGATTGAATTGTATCCCCCTAAAAAGATATTATTTGAAGTCCTAAACCCAGTACCTGCGAACATGGCCTTGTTTGGAAATAGGGTCTTTAAAGAGGTTATCGGTGAACATCAGGTCATGCCGGAGTAAAGGACCCCTGCTGGTGCAGTGGTTAAGTGCTCAACTGCTAACTGAAAGGTTGGCGGGTCAGACTCCCTCAGCAGCCCCAAGGGAGAAAGACCTGGTGATCTGCTTCCATGAAGATTACAGCCAAGAAAACCCAATGGAGCAGTGGGGTTGCTATGAGTCAGAATCGACTCAATGGCACCTAACAACAACATACTGGAATAGCCCATTGCCATCAAGTGGATTCTGACTCATAGCGACCCCATGTGACAGAGTAGAGCTGGCTTATAGGGTTTCCAGGGCTTTAAATCTTTATGGAAGCAGGCTGCCACATCTTTCTCCTGTGGAGTGGCTGGTGGGTTTGAACTGATGACCTTTTGGTTACTTAGTGATGTCTTTATAAAACAAGAGAAGAGACAC